CCTCCTCCTGTTTATGTGAAGAAGAGAAGAGAAGACAGTGAATCAGCTCCAAGGATCTTTTCTGCGGTTTAAAAAAAAAAAAAACAGAACTCTCTTGAATTTATCATTTTCTATTCTTCTTTTATTTTCCAAACTCAGTGTTGCGTTCACGTCCTTGACCTGAGATATTGTTTTTCTCCTACTTGATTCTTTCACAATAATACTATTAGATAATTTTAAAGTGTTGCCCTTCACGTACAATCTCCTTCTAAGGCCAAATTCCTAATCAGCAATTTGAGTTTCCAATTTCATGTAATGCTGCATTGAGTTTTATTTTCTAGCCTGAAGCTTCAAAATCCTGTACGACATGAACGCAGCATGAGTTCTGACCCTGGTGATGGCTTTCTTCTCCTCACAGATTCTAACATGGTGTCAGTCTTTACAAAGTACAGCACTTTTTTTCCCACCAGACGCAAAGGGGATGGGTGAATGTGGAGCAATCTCTCTGTTAAATAGTATTTGAGTTGATTTTTAAGGATTGTTCTTGAAGTTCCTCAACAAAGACCGATATCCACACCCCAAGGTAAAGATATGATTCGTTTTCTCCATTAGTTTGGTCGTTAGATGTATGGAAGCACATTACTACGGTGGCCAACAGGTGCAAAAGAGCTACAATGGCCCAAAACATTTCCATTAGAAGAAACATGTGCACATTCAAAAACGATGCAAATATAGAAACACAACATTTTTTCCAAAAGACATGAAAATGAAGAAACATCTTCACCAAGTTGACGAAATGTGCAGCATTTAGAAAATGATCACCAACTGGTGTTTTTTATATTTGCATCACTTCTGAATATAAGCTTGTTTCTCCTATTCTAAATGTTTTTGGCCGTTTGCACCTGTCGGCCCCCGTACATTCCCGCCATAAATATATAAAACAATTATTGAAATGGTCCGGGTGTCATACTGAAATGTGGTCAAATAAAAACTGGGAAGTCAAGAGTTGTAGCACATACAGAAAAACATCGACATGTTCTTGTTTATTGAGTCTGCAATTTCCCTCCCGGCAACAAAATCCTGAAGCTCTATGATTGGATGTGTCTGGCTGCAGTGTTATCTGGGAATTGTAGTTGACTTCTCCCCTAAATGTCAAACCTTCTGATTTTCTTTTCTAAAGAAACAAATGTCCTCAGCTGTGCTTGAAACCAGGAATGTGAACATGTTACTGCAGATCTCCCCAAATCAAACCTTGGAGTCTAAATTATCTGCGGTTTTATTTTGGAATAAGCTGTGAAACTGATCCGGAGTCAGTGATGAAGGACGACTGACTCCATCCTGTTGGTTATTTTGTTGTCTTGTACTTCCCTTCACCGTCGCCTGGTCAATCCCAACACTTCCTCCTCACTTAAATGACAAAACAAGAGCCCTTTTCTTTCGTTGCTGTATGATCGTAAGTGAAGGCAACACTTTTTGTTTCTGTCTCATGAACATTTCCAAACCTAGAAAAGTTATTATTTTTTATTTTACTACCTTAAATCAACCTTGATTTGGTCAATTTCAAATCATATCTTGACATTTAGTTTCAATTTGTTTAGACATTTTCATTGCATATAGCTATTGTAACATTTAGGTTTAGCAGGTCAATGACTTGCTGGTGGAGAACCAGTAAAAATGGAAGTAAAATGGTAGTTTTTACAACTTTGTTTTGACGCCACATTACTCGTTAAGTTATCATAACCTAATCTGGTGAAGTGAGATCCACTCATAACAGTTTTTAAGGAAGGGCACTATGTAAATATTGCAAAACAGTCTGAATGTAGAAACAGAAGATTAAATATTTATCAGCAAAACTGGATTTATTTTCTCCCCCATTGCCAAGGAAAAGCTTTATCTGGCAACACAATTAAGTGAATCTCTGTCAAGTCATATGAGATAGTGTTCAATCGTCAAATAAACAGTAATATTCTGCGTTTCTTCTGCAGATGAAGGACTTCCTGTTGTGTGTGGAGGAAGTGAGGGATTGTCAGGTGTGTGTGTCCGTGTGAGTGTGTGTGTCCGTCCAGAGAGCAGCTTCATATCTCTTCCTGTGTTCAGTGCGAGGGCTTTAGTTGGGTAACTGTTCTTGATTTAGTTTCGATTGAATTTTCACCCATTTCATTATTAAAATAAATCAGACATTCTGCATTATCAGAAGCTACAAATCAGACATATCGTTACATAAATGTTGAAATAAAAACTGGAAATATTGTTTTTTTCTTTTAGCCCTCACTATCCCTCTTGAATCGTATAACCCTGTATTGATTGCTACCTTTTTGTATTTCAATTCCCTTGTTTGCCGCCAGAATGATGTGCAATGTTTGAGAATTTTCAGTTGATTTTATTATTTGGGTTTTTTTTCACAGATTCAATTCTTTATTTGAGCAGATTTAAAAAAAATCTTTTTTCTTTGACATTCCTGCTGCGCGGCAGAACAGACGTTTAAGAACTTTAATTACAATAAAGGAATGTATCTCATCCATGGGAGCACTGGGTTTTAATTGTAATTATTCATCTTTTTATTATTTATCATGCAGATTGTAATAATGCATTTTATTTGTAGAGCGGTTTTCCAGAAACTCAAGACACTGAGTAAAGATTTATAAAAACATAATTAAAAGAAGTACACCTAAAATATATACAAATGTCGCTCCTTTTGAAAACGGTGGTAGAGCCATACTTTTACTAATGTTAACATTTTTATTTACCAACCGACATTTTAAAACATATTATTTTGTTAATGTTACTGTCATTAATATTCCCCATTCTCTTTATTGATATATTTGAGATTTGAATTACATTTTAATTTATGCATTAAACATTTTAGATTAAAATGATCATAGAAATATAAAAAACTTCATTAAGATTTGTATTTTCAATTTACATTAAAGCATGGAGACATGTCTAAGTAGAGGCAACAAATATGAAACTGAAAATTCACAGAATATTTCCTCTTTAAGGTTTTGACTGTAATCACCTGTGTGTGCAATTTGAACTTTTGTTATTTTTTTATCCAAAGATACAACTGTCAGGGACTCAGAGTGATAATCAGAGACTGGAAAAGATTCATACAAACTGTCAGGAGGCTTCACATCAGCTCTGCATACACACACACACACACACACACACACACACACACACACACACACTGAGCATATAGGCAGAGTGCTGTCAGAGAGTGGGCAGTGCATTACTTTGCATTGTGGCTGTCACACCATCGACTAGCTGTCATATTCACGCTGCAGGTTTCTGTGGAAGACGAACATATTCACATCTGATTTTATAAAGAGACTCCGGAGAAATATTTAGTCTGTGTGTGTCAAGACTCGTGAGCAGTTAAATCGGCTCCTGACGACAGCTTCACATCCATATATATATAAATGTATTTTAATTATAACTAGTGTTCTTTATCCTTAGTTAAATCCAAGAAAACGTCAGTTCTTCATTTTTTTATTGTTGCATCTTTAACATGTGTTTTCATCACTGTTGAGTTTTAGTCTTTCACTTTGCAGCATTTAGCCGTTGCCATTTGAGGTAAGTGTTGTATTTAAGTACATTGTCTTAAACTAAGGGGGGCGTCATGTCTTGCAGAGTTATAATATAATTGAAACTAGTGAAAATCAAATGTTTGAAAAATATGCCATATTTTGAAGCATGACACATTTTGTTTTTTTATTAAGTTACCTTTGGTATAGGCAGTTTTTATTTTGGCTGGGAGAGAGTAAACAAAGTGATTTTTTGGACTAGATTGAATTAATGTTGAATGTAATCTGATGACTATAAAATACTAAAATAAGAGTTTTTATTGACTAGAATTAGAAGGAATTTGGACACAGGAATACAACTACAAAACATTAACACAGATACTTAGCGATTGCATTACATTTAGCCGGCAGAGATCCTGTATAATCATCACCTGGAAAGGCCTTTATATCCAGACTGTCCAGTCCCCTCTGTGATGTAACCTTGCAAGTTATTAGTTTAGGACACACATGGTACATTTCTAACTAACAAGTTTGAATCATCACAATATGAAGAATGATGTCCAGTACCTCCATACAATGTGTTGCAGACATATCTACCAAAAATAGCATGCTAACTGGCTAGCCCGTTCTCTCTTGTAATTAGGGATGCTCCGATATCGATCGGCCGCCGATCGATATCGGCCGATACTCACTCTCTACCGATCGATTGGAGCTCTCTAAAAATGCCGATCGCGAGAGCCGATCGCATGACGTAAAATACATGACACTTTTCTCTGTGCGCGGCAAAACAAGCTCGCCAAAATGGCTTCACCGGTCTGGCAGTATTTTAAGTGTCCGAAAATGACAATAAAATAGCGGTATGCAACGTGTGTGAAGCAGAAATCCTGCAGCTCCACCCGCTGTGACGGACCGGTGAGCGGAGCAGAACACACATTAAGAGTTAGACCTAACACACTTAGCTATTTTATCTACCTCTGGAACAAGCTAAACTAGTTATACATATGTTTATTCTTCACTGTCGGGTCACTCATTACTGGATCAGTGAGCTGCATGAGATACTGACAGGCTGTCAGGAGAGAGAGAGGAAAAGAGAGCGCTTCCGCTCATTTCTCCCGTGTTATTATCCAAAGTTAATGTAAACTTGAATAATGTGCATCATTTGAATGTAATAATTGTGAAGTGAATGAGCCCCATTAACTGAGTTTTAAACATCACTTTAAATGGAAGATCCCCATAGGCCCCGCCCACTCGATCGGATCGGCGATCGGTATCGGCCGATACTGATTCCGGCGATCGGCCCCAAAGTTGGCGATCGGAGCATCCCTACTTGTAATACCACTTAACAATCCGATGTAGATTCGTCCAAGTGTTGGGGAGATGGTCGAAACTAAAAAACTCTCACACAAAATATCCCAAACAAACCAGCATTTTTTTTTAAAGCACGATTTTTCAATCATGATATTATTTAAAAAGATTCCCTTGGCCCAGATTGTTGGGGGGCAACGGTGGCCAGTGCCCGTGTAACAATGAGCTTTGACCCCCTTGTGGGGAATATCTTATAATGATAATACAATTGTAGGTAGCGTTGTGCTGGAACTAGCTGAAGTTAAGTGGAATGCATTTTATGACTATGACTTTTTGCAAAACTAAAAATGTTAAAATGTTGAACACTGTCTCGCAAGTGAGCAAATGGAAATGTGTGTCACTGTAATGTAATTGTGTTATTAAAAAAAAAAAAAAAAACTAGCCTTACCTTTTATAATGATTCTTCCATCAGTGGTGTCGATCCCAAAATGATTTCTCACATTGAGGTCATGACTATTAGTTTTTCACGCAAAATAGTTTTGTCCATTTCCCTTAGATAAACAGACTGGTTTTATTTACCAGGGCAAGCAATACATCGTGAGGTTGCATTTCACAAATCCCCTGTAAATCCTCCCCCTTTAAAATGATTTCCCTTACAGAACATACAGGGCCGTTGATACTGTGGTCCTCCTGTCCCTTCCAGGCTGAGAATAATGTAGGTAAAGCTGCATCCTTAACCCCCCACTATCACTTAAACCCAAGAGTAATGGTGCATCCACTTTTCCAGCCTCACCTCCACCTCTAGAATTTTCTCTCTGACTCCAGAATAATGCATCTGCATCTGTTTTCCGCGCTCACTCTAACCCCTCGCTCTCGCATGACTCCAGAATAATGGAGATGTATTTATTTGTACACTCTCCATCTTGACCCCGCGTCGCTATCAATCTGGCTTTAGAATAATGTAGGCACATCTGTTCCGCTCACCCTCCTAACCCCTCAATTTCCCCGCCACTTCAGGATAATGTAGGTGCATCTATTATCTCACCCTGCTGCTGTCTCCCGACCCGTTTTTAGAATAATGTGGCTGCATTTACAACCACAACCAGCCCCCCCCCCCAGCCCCCCTCGATAAACTATCACTGCGGTGTCTGGAAATAAATAAAACGGCATAAAGTGCAGCTTTAAACTTCAAGATGGTGTGGAACAGTGGAAGTATTTATTATTTCAGGTCATAATTTACACCCAATCCTTTCTATATTCTTTCCACTTTCTCCTCTTTTCCTCAGGGACACAAACAAAGTAGAGGTGCATGAGGGAAGAGAATGAAATAAAAAGCACTGGGTAGCAGATAAGAGTGTTGTTGCAGTGTAACCCTCGCCTTTTATTTATCATATCTCCAAATGGCGGTGTAGCTGTTGTGCTGTGGTCAGGATACAGTGACCTTAGTTGATCAACTACCCCCCTAGCAGCCTGATAAGAGGGCTAATATAACAGCGAGCGAGGGGGGAAGGTTGTACTGTAATTATTTCTGCACTGTCAGAGGGGGAACAGACCGCGGCCCCCCCAGCCGATTCAAATCTGAGGGGAAACTAAAAAGAGGAGGAGTGGGAAGGGCCGCAACAACAACAACGCCAGTGAGACAAATATCAGCCAGCCACCGCGACACGCCTGGAATTGGACCAGTTTGTCATGCACAGGGCTGCCACACTACATCTAAGATGCCACATAAGACTTCATTCAAACTTTACTAGTTCAACAGAAACAGAAAATACTCACCAGTAGATATTTGAAAGAACATTTTGCAACATGTAAGATATAAACTGAAGGAAATACAAACATACCAGAAATTACTACTACAATTCAAATGTAAACACCATTGAAAAGAAAGGACATAGTTTACAGACAGAAAATAGAAAAGGCAAGCAAACGTAGAAAAATGCAAATCAATTGCAACAAATATTGACGACTATAAGAGTTATTCTATTTAAGACAAAAGTAAAAAAAGAAAATCAGCAATTCCTATGTACTGCTGAATTGTTGTTGGCAACCAATTGGTAGGAAATACTGCATTTGTTGGGGACTATTTTCACTGGTGGATTAATCAACATTTGTGCTCCTGCTTGTGAGTATGTGTGGCAGGAGGATGGTGCATGTGGAATTGAGTCGACTAAAGTCTGTGCATGGTAGGTTAGGAACACTGTGCAACTCTATGGCTCATTGATGTGCTTTTAATAGTCCAATAATGGAGCTCTAAGGCACAGAGTTAGAATATACATCAGGCTTTGATCACCACTAGATTGATCTCATTAAACAGTGGTGCAGGTCCTAGAGAGCCCCAGCTCCTATTTTCCATCTCTTCATTTGTTATTTGTCCTAAATGGGACTTGGAATTCCTCTATTTATATGTTTGAACTGATACTTGATTACCTTATCCCCCATTAGCTTCTGATTTGATGAAAACACCTGATCTAGCTTATAACCTGTGGGTGGCGCAAAAACAAAAAGACAAATATTCAGTTCCGGGGCTTTCCATGTCCAGGTTTATAAAAGGACTTTTCAAGTTTTAAGGAGTGTGTTACTTGTTGGGGTTTAACAGTATTTGTCCACTACTGTTTGGTAAAGAACATTCCGTTTTGGAATGTGACTTCCTACGTTCAGTCCTGTGAGCCAAACAGATACGGTAAAGCATAGT